ATAACTTTTTTTAAAAATAATCTTCTTTGTATATGACAATAAGATTTGTAATAGTAATATCGATTTTTTTTTTTAATTTGATCCAATAGTAATGTCGATTGAAATAACGACAATGATTATTCAAAATTTTTAAGGAAATAACTAACTACCTCCCCATAATTGTATCTAATTATACACGTTCATACAGTGACGCGGACCTAACATACTTATCTAGTGTTGTACTTCATGATTTTAAGGATAATACAATTTTTATGTTATTTTTTTACCTCTTAAATTTATAATTTAAATTCAGTTTTCTATTTTTTCAATTGCTATCAAATTTTATCTTTCATCGATTAGTTTTTTTTTTATAAATATGTTTTAATCTTTTTTACTCACTTTTTATTCTCAACAAACGTGTATCTCTATTTTCATGTAATATTTATTATTTTATTTATTTATTTATAATAATAATTATTTTTACTAACTCAATGTCTCGGATCCGCTACTGCGTGCACACTCTTCTTAATTTTAACTAACAAAGCTCTATTATAATTAAAATACAAGTAATTTCAACATGACATTTGACAATAATGACAGAAATATGATAATAGTAACATGTGAATGAGAGACGAAACTACGAGTTCCTAAATAGGGGCAGTCCTAGAGTGAGTAATACGAAATCAGACAAGTGATATTTACACAATATCATAACCTAAAACATTAAGTATTAAGTTAATAATTTTTTTTCTCATTAATATACTACTTAACATGTTTAATTTTATCTAATATAAGACTCTTTTTTGTATTTTGAACTCCAATAAAACGAATCACTTTGATGTACTTAAGCGAGAGACTATTTCAAACCTAAGTCTAAGTCCAAAAATAGAAAGACATATAAAAGGACTTAGTAAGAAGGTAAAAACCTATTTCGCATTCTAACAAAATTCTCTTTAGAGAAAGAGCCAATTACAAAACACTTTTATAACCCTAACATTTATCTTCTGTCTCTTCATCAATTTTAAGATTTAGGGTTTATTTTGTTAATTGCTCGCTCTTTCTACTCTTAATATTTTTTGTGGCTTGATTGCCAATAATTAAATTTATTAGGATTCAATTTTGTTGGGAAACATTTTTGAAATCACATAGAAGATGAACCCAATAAAACTTTTTGCTAATGATAGTGTAAGATTTATTAACCAACATTTAGACCTATAATTTTTATACAAATTACTCACTTAACTTCTTTGAGAGCAATTAATATATTAAAAGGAGTTTAAAAAAAATCTTACTTAAGAGATTAAGGTTAAATATATATGCTAGTCATAGGTTAATAATGATTAAAACTTAGTAAGTGATTACTTGGTACATGTGAGGATTGTCTAGTGAAATAAAACTCTAACAGTTTTAATCATATTAATTTATATATAGTTTTTTTTCTTTCAATTTTATTCAATTAAAAAACCCTAAAAAAATTCTTTATTGTTTTTCTTTAATTTATTACAATCAATTCCAAATATTCTTTCAACTTAGATATAACATAATTAAATTTGACCAGTATTATGTTTAAGTTTTTTTGAGATATAATACTTGAAACTTTGTTCATTTTATTACCGGTATGATTTTGGTATGCTTATAAAATCTTTTAATAGGTTAATTTATTTTATAAATTTGAAAATATTAATTTATTTTATAAATTTGAAAATATTAATTTATTTTCTAAATTTTTGTTATTCAAAATATTAAAAAAATGTTACTAAAACGAGTGAATAATAGAGTTAAACAAGTTTTTTAAAATAATTTAAAATACTTATAATTTTATTTTAAATTTTTAATATGTAGTCATTTTTTTTAAATTATAATTTCAATGATATATTTTTTAAGTACCTTTTGGATTACTTATTAAATACTTTTCGATATACACGACCATATTGAATTGAATTTAAATTATTTTTTATTTTAAAAAATATTATTGAAAATATAACATAGCTTTATGCATATATATATATATATATATTATCTTTTTAATTAATACTCAAATATATTTAATTATTATTATTATTGTATCATAAAATATCTGCAGATCATAAATTACATTTTTTGTCGTAAATAAAAATTAAAAACCAACTTCTACTTAGTTTTAAGATTCTTATTTTAAAATTTAATTTAAAAAATAGCCGGGCAAACATGGCTCATATTGATGATTAAAATAATATGAAGATAGTGATATCGATAATTCCCAAAGTTTTTTATTTTGGAATTTGGATACGGCCTACCGCTACCGCTAATGCACATTATCACATCTTTTAAGCATTTTTTACGTTTCTTAATTTTTATTTTAAAGTAAGTGTAACTCTTGTTGGTGAACATATCATTTTAGAAAAGTTAAAACGAAACATAATTATTCTTACCGGAAATCTGCTGTGGAGCTGATCCGCGAGGTAAGATTGATGAGCCTCCTTCACTGGTACGCTGATATTCCAAGATGGGGGTGGTACCTGCAAAAGAGACTCTGATGCTAAAGTTAGGGTTTGCACGAATAATAGTCTCATATATATAATGTACGTACCTTGAAGTGGTTTAGGGTTGTATTGGGCCCTGGGCCTGAGATGAGGTCCCCGGGTTCGGGTGTGATCTGTCCAGGCTCCGGGCTGTTATTGTTCAGCGCGTGCCTAGTATGACCTTTGTCTCGCTAATCCGGGCTTAGAGCCCGGATGCGGGATGCGGCCAGTACAATAATGTAATTTTTTTAATTCTCATTATTTGAGGAAATAAATTAAATGACTATCTTACACAAGATTTACTTTTGAATAAATCATCAATTTCATCCTTAAAATATTACATTCTTTCTTAAATGGTACCTAGAAAAATAATATAAATAATCTTTCGAAGTATTAAAAATTATGTTAAGCAGTCTTCTGAATACTGGAAAACCCTTCAAATTAGATCCTAAACATTAAGAAAATATATTAACTTAGAGACTATATTGATAAATATGGAATACTTGATGAATGACTTATATAGTTTTATTGTTGTAAGGATTATTTAGGAGAGAAAATAATGCTTTAAGGACCAAATACATAATAAAATTATTGACTTAAAAATTAATAGAATAGATTTTAATAATTTATTAATCTGTTGAGCATATTTGTGTATTTAATCCCAAGTTCAATTTTTTTTAAGATTACAACTCCTCTTTTAATTTTACCTTTTAAATATGCCTTAGTAGAGTAAAATTGAATTTGACACTTGTAAACCATGTTTGCTTCACATTTTCATAAACGCAAGTATACATTTTGCATAGGAAAGATATATATATATATATATATATATATATATGTGTGTGTGTTGGGCGTCGTCAGGTATATATATATATAAAATGTCATAAAGGACATAATCATCCGATCACACATTTTCCTTTTTTCCTCCCTTATATTCAGTCTCTGTTCTACAACTTTTTATATAAAGAAATGGTATAAATACAATTTCTCTTTTTGAAAATTACACATTTCACACAGACTAAACAGATTCAACCTTAACACAACATAGGTGGAAAATAAACACACATGCAATATTAAGGATACTCTTTTGTCTTTTACATGCATCCACACAAAGATTGCTCACTCTTCACCTACCCCACTTTGCTCCTTCCGACTACATAAAGGCAAGTCACACTGTATGTTGTCGCCGTATTTGAAAAATCTAAGTATTTGGATGAAAAGCAATCACTCTATGAATGTTGAACAGAAGCATGATTACTGGGCCACCATACCGGCTTTAAGGCCTTGTACACTTCAATTTACTCTTGAGCGATACTACAAGACAACGCGTCTTTTTGTAAATAACACCTTTATGGACAACATTGCCATTTCCAACACAAATGTAAGATCATGCAAGAGAGGGTTGACTTGCAAATTCTTTTCAACACCAGCTAAGAAAAGAGGTAGAAGGTTTTCATTTCATAAATAAATTATAATATATATCAACACAACAGTAATTTGATAAATAAATTAGAATTAGATATATACAAGTTCACCCAAGTAATTTAGTGTCTGTTTGCGTAAAATTAATTATTCTTACCAATATGAAAATTAGGATTCAAATAAAGTACACAGCCAAGTTATGTAAATTTTACACCGAAAAGTTCAAACTAATTCTATCAAAACCAATTGCTTGATTTTAAAACAAACAGATCTATTCTTCTCAGACCCTAGTGAAATGATCACGTGTTTTGCAGTATTGAGCTCTAATGGTGGGACTGGAAAGTTATCCGAACTATGTAGATATTTAAGACTTCAGCATTGTTACCAATAGTGGAGAGGTTTACTCATAGATTCCAACGCTCAAGTCAGTAAAATACAAAGTTAATAGGTGAAGAATTAGCAAAAATATAAACCTTATAATGATGAATTTGTGGCTTACATAGCCTTTTGACTTATCATAAGATAATAAATGCAATTATGAATGTAATGGACAAATTTTTCAAAAATGTTTTAAGGAGATATTAATCATATGCTATATGGCTTTAAATGATTAGCCATTATTCTTCACGTGGTAAATATGCCTGGGAGGCTTCTTTCATGTATTTTGACATTAGATCAGCCAACATTCTAACTCTGCATTGTGGTTGCACCAAACCATGATTATAAATTGTGATTCGCAACCACGATTATGGCACAATGTAAAGAATTTTTAACACACCACAACCATATCACGACCGTAATTGTGACTGTATTAACCTCATTTTCCTATAATTTTTCGCAATGTCAAGAATAGCTATTGAATCGCAGCCACAATTTAGAACTATGTCCAACCCTAGTTGAGAACAGTTTAGGCCTTGACTGCACTGAATAAACAGTGGCAGCAGACGATAATGGCACCAGAAAGAACTGCATTCATGGTTACAGTTCCTCAATGTATAGCTCTTGCTACATATTACTGGACTACATAAACTAGTCCGTCCCATGATTTGTACCAAACGAGCACCATTTCCCAAACACAGAGCGCAAAGGAGAAAGCAGTAATAATAATTAATAAGGAGAAACATTACGAGACAAATGGTGTATATTCCAATCCCATAAACACAGCCAAATTCAGAGTGAACCAAAACTAAACTAGCATCGGAGAATAAGTCCCATAATCTAGAATTGAAGATTAAAGTTGAAAGTTCCCACAGTATAACTTGGTCCTTGAAACTAAATAGTTTCAAAAACAAAGTAGTAAACCAGATAACCTTACTATCCTATTGAATCATGTGATTTGGAACGACCATCACTGTCCAGAGTATTATTCTATAAACAAAAGAATGAAACTATATTTCTGAATTTGAAAGGAACATTGAAATGAACAAAAGGCACGCATCCAGAAGTCCATGTGCATCCATCCTATGTATCCGACGCAGCCAACAAAATGCCTTTCGCCAATCTCAACGCTACCTCTGCCAAAAACAAAACCCAACAGTTAACTCACAAACAAAATAAGTAATTGAAAAGCAAAAAATGAACCCCTTTTTCCATCAACATTGACATACCTTGCCAGTTTGGGCGTCGTCAGGAACCTTGTAACAGTCGGCACTGACCTCCGACAACCACTGACCAGGATAAAGGGTCTGCAGAAAAACGAAATTCAATAATTGAATTACCGAAAATAAAATTGAAGGCTTTAAAGAATGATAGAACGTAACATAACCATAAGCGATGAATGAGCTTACATCCAACTGCTTCTGCACGTTTCTGGGCCGCCTCTTGGGCCTGCGGGGAGGCCGGTGGCCCACCATCTTCATGAAATCCTCCTCTAACTCTTTCTTCGAAAGCGTCGGAGAAAACTTCACCGGATGCTCCTCCTTCTCCGGCGACCCTCTCAATTTCGGCGACTTCCCGGCGGCGGCGGCGGCGGAAGTCCTCAACGGAGACCTCCTCTCGTCAATCCGGACCCCCCTGTCCCCGACCGGAGCGCGGCGGGTGCGGAGATTCCACGTCCTGGGTCCGGCGTGCGGCGGCGGCGGCGAGTCCTCCTCCGGCGCGTGGTGGATGTGGAGATGATTGTCGCCGGCGCCGAGAATCGCGTGCTTCATCCTATCGGCCTCGGTTTTGAGATCGAGCATGAGCTTCTCCCTGACGGCGTCGATCCCGGCGTCGGCGAGGAATGGAGGCGTGGCATTAGGGGGCGGAGATCGGCGATCTCCGGCGGTGGGGAGCTTGGTGCAGCGGAGGTGGCGCTGATTCCCCCACTTGAGATAGGAGGGCAACATGAAATTGTGAAGCGGCTTGGATCTCTCGGGTCCCATGGCCATGGTCTCTTGTCCCTCGGAAGGCGTAAACACCATTTAATTGAAAAGAGAAGAGCAAGAGCAAGTAGAAGAGACAAGTGTGTTACAGAGGGCAAGGTGAGAAAGACGAAGGCTTTTGGGTTTGGTTTGCATAGTCGCCGGGAAACGCAAGCTCTTTGTTCATTTATAAGAGAGAAAGAAAAGAAAGGAGCGAGGCGGTTTTAACGTTCGGCTTCGCCTTCTAGCCTACACGCTAACCTACGCCCTGGGTGCTGCTTCTTCTTTTTTTTTTTTTTTCCTTTTTTCCCGGGTTTAATACCTCCTTTTTTTAACTGCCCTTCATTTAAATCCTCTCCTTCCATCTCCCCCCTCCATTCTAATTTCTAATTTCATTTCCGTGTGCTGCTATCTGCTAGTGCTAGGTCAACCCAACCATTGATTTTCTCTTCTTGCTGGTCAAGGATTACGATATATACCATATACTTACTTTATCATTAGTCATTACCACCATTCTCGTTCTTGCTTAATTAAAATACCATCTCTATTCAATTTTGCTTAACTAGTTCAATTCTATTTTGGTTCCCGGCAGATTCATCAATTCTGTTTATAATTTTTATCTTCTTCTTTCAACAATATATCTTTACTGTGTTGTTCATAGCCTTTTTTATCTATTTCTAATACATTAAAATACCGATAAAACAGTTTAAAATTTAACCGCATTTTTTATTTCTAAATTTTTTAATTTTAAAATTTAGGGGGGTGTATTGGTTTAGGATTTCATAGGATTTTAAAAGACTTTTTTGGAGTAAAAAAATTCATTGGTATTCAATCAGGATTTTATGCCACTTAAAAACAATCCAGTGGTATTCAATCTGGATTTTCAAGATTTTTTAAATAGTCCATTAAAATTTATTGGTATTCATTTGAAGGACTTTCTAGTGTTATCTATAAATACCAAATTCATAAAACAATCTCATCCAAACCCATCGGATTTTGAATGATTGTTTGAAGTGACTTTTCAAGAATTTTCAAGTGAGTTTTTCATCTTTTTTTTTTCTATGCTCCTATCTTCTCCATTTTTTCTCTGGTAATAATACTGCACTATTATTCATTGCTCATATATAATATTGTAGTATTGTTCTCATCCCATTCCCCTATTTTGTGAAACTCCGATATGTAAATGATAGTGTCATTGATTTGCTCTATTTTTCTGTTCATTCTCTTTAATTGACTTGCTTTATTTTATTTTATTCTATGTAGTTGAATTTGTTCCTTTATATAACACAAAAAAAAATGCTTAAAATTTTAACTTTTAAGTGATAATTTTTTTTATAACACACGTCAAGAAAAAAAGAAGGTGAAAGATGAAATTGATATCATAATCTCTACAATATATAATATATAAGATGAATTTGTTAGGGTTTCTGTGAGTAGAATGAGATGAAAATGGATCTTAATTGGGGGAAGAACCCTCTCAGCATAAAAATTGCAATTTCTCTCCTTCGCTTAAGTTTGTTACTCTTATCCCCTTCTTTTACGACTCAACAATTATTTTATTTTTTTTACTATGAATTTTTCTTTTTATTTTTATATTGTAAAATTGGGACTTTTTATATTTTAAAAAAAGAAAATTAACATAAGATATTGCAGTATCTAATTTTTTAGGGTTTAGGCTTATTTCTTAAAAGAGGAAATATTGTTAAAATATTTGTTAGAATAATTTACATTTATAAATATTGTTAAAAATTATCATATAATATATATCTAAAATAATATATATATATATATATATATATATATATTCTATATATCTAAATGCTTATTCTTTAAATAATAATAATAATTATATATAATAATTATTATTATTATACTAATATTATATATATTGCATATGTAATTAGGTAAATATTTTTTTGGTGGATTGTAGATTTCCTAATCGACGTCAATTTTTAGCTCCATTTCGAGGTGTAAGATATCATCTACAATATTTTGCAGGTCAGGGTAATGACCCTGAAAATGAGAAAAAATTGTTCAATCTTCGTCATGCATCTTTAAGGAATGTGATCGAGAAAATATTTGGTATTTTTAAATCAAGGTTCATAATTTTTAAGTCAGCACCTCCATTTTTATTTAAGACACAAGTAGAACTTGTGTTAGTATGTGCAACACTACATAATTTTCTACGTAAAGAATGTCGTTCTGATGAATTTCTAATTGAAGTGGTGGATAAACCTTCATCTTCAACGTTACCAGTTAATGAAAATCATACTTTTGAACCTATTATTCAAACCCAGAAGCAAGAGCGAAAAGACGCTAATGCTTGGAGGAATAGTATAGCTATAGATATATATGTGGGTGAATGCTTAACTAGTTCAATTCTTGCTTAATTAAAATACCATCTTTATTCAATTTTGCTTAACTAGTTCAATTCTATTTTGGTTCCTGGCAGATTCATCAATTCAGTTTATAATTTTTATCTTCTTTCAACAATATGTCTTTCATGTGTTGTTCATAGGCTTTTTAATCTATTTCTAATACATTAAAATACCGATAAAACATAGTTTAAAATTTAACCGCATTTTTAATTTCTAAATTTGTGAATTTTAAAATTTAATTTCGCTTCAAATATAACTAAATATTTTATTTTAAAACTAAATAATTTATTTTATACTATACACATTTTTGTTATAAATACTGGTGTTATCATGATAATTTGTTCCTCTATATATTTTGTTTAAAAAATATATAAAATAACAGAATTTATAGAATGTAAATCGAGTGTAATAATATATAATTATAAAAAGAGTAAAATAAATAGAAGGCGCAAATCAAAGAGTTTTAGACTAAATTCGGGGTTTAACCTGAAAGTTGATTCAAAAGAAGAAATAGAATTAGGTTATTACGTACATTCTAAAAAACTTAAAATACTCACAAGAGAAAATTTATAAGAGACTATTGAAGAAAACACAAATTAGCGATTAAGATTTTAGGAAGATCGTTAATACATAAGATCATTACTTTAGATAGGAAAAATGAGATTGTCCAATTTTTTAACATATATAAGAGGTCAAGGTAGAGAGATGATTTTTAAATCTCCTAAATTATTTGTTAGTTGGATTTGAATCATATATTTTTTATATATAGAATTATAATATCTATTTATAATTTAACTAAATGCAAATCAATTTCTACATATTATTTGATTGAATACATTATTATTGTAGAATTATTATATAAAAATAATATGTGCATCTAAATTGAATTACTTAATTGATTGAATTAAAATATATAATTTAATTGATTGATTAAATTGTAATTATAATATATGATTGTTGTATAATTACTATAATTAAATATATTTATGTATTTTATAAATTAAAAAAATAAAATAAAAGTTATTGAATATTTAAGTGGAATATATATATATATATATATATATAAATAAATAAATAAGTGGAATTGATGTATTTTGTTTCTTTATATTTTTATTAAAAAAATTGAATAAAATAAAATTAAATAATAAAATAAGTGGTTAACTTATTTTAGTGATAAAAATAAAAGTAGCTTTCAATATTATTTTTTATTATTTAGAAATTTAGGGATAAAAGTATATAAAAAAAATGTGATGACAAAAAATTGTTACAAACCAATATATCCTTTTTATATATAGATTAGATTGGTCGAGACACTTTGTGCCTCTAATAATCATACACAGATAAAATATTTAGAAGGTTAGTATAATTATTGAGAAAGATATAAGAATTTTTATTTTTATATTTGAGGGGGTATAATGGTCCACTAAAAAATTGAGACCAAAAGTGATTACATTCTTCTAATATCTTTTTTATAATAAGTATAGATATAGATAATAGATATAATAGATAATAGATAGATTATCAATAGAAAAAATACACAACTTATATTATTTTTCTTACATAATTTCGTAATCATCGATACAAAATTCTAAATATTTTTTTTACATAACATTATAAATAATAAAGGTAAAGCAAATTCGAACAATTCTTCCTTCTTTCACTTGTTAAAGTAACGTGGAATAAATACGGCAATGTCTTAAAAAATACATCAAACAAGAACTAGAAATACAAAACAATGCATAAGTTAATTTGTAAATATCAAATTCGTTATATATCAATTGAAAACAAAAACACAAATTTTAACATGGTTTGAGAATGCAATAAGAAGCATGTCAAGACTCAAGAGGAAAAAAATTGACAATAGGCCTGCAATATCTTTGTTATTCATTATTGGAGGGAAAACCTTTCATAAAAGAGTCTTTGAGAAGGTAAATAAAATGATGAATGAAATATATGAGAATTGCAGGTGAAGAAAAAATAAATAGAAATGAATGAATATATATACTTTTCGTAACTTTTTCAATTAATTTAAAATAATATTAATTATTTTAATTAAAATATTGATATGAAGAAGAAGTGATTATTATTGTTACTTGAATCTGCAAATATTCCAAAAAACTAGACGATAGCTCTGAATCTTCATGTACTAGAATATATAATTTAATTGATTGATTAAATTAGAATTAACATAACTAATATCATGTAATATTATATAATTTCTATAATTAAAAATATTAATATTTTGTGAATTAAAAAAATAATCATTAAAAATATGGTGCTGCCAATGACATATTCTTGTATGATATGTCATTAAAAATTTAAGCAAAATAATGAATATAGTAATATCATGTAATATTTATCCACATGACATAACTTTTTATATATATTATAAATATATAATATAATAGATAGATTGACATAATTTCTCCCATTAAAATATCAAGTATTGTAAGGCATTTACATTACATATAGACTAATAATGAACCACATTAATTTTATTTATTTTAAAAAAATTTAGATTGTATTCGTATTATTTTCTCAAGGGTATAGATACAACAAAAATATACTTTGGGTAATTTTATTTTAGATTTAAGCTTTTAGCTATTTTTTAATTTGAGAAAAGTTGTATCTTTGTTTCGGTTTATATCTAACTAATTTTTCTTTCTTGAGTTAAGATGTTGGAATTTTAAGGTGAAAATATGAGATTGATTTGTTGATTCTTTTGCATGAAAAATCTTTTGGTAAAAAAATCATTTTCTTTAACAGTAAATTTCACTATAAAAAGTTGATGTTCATTACTAAAGTTGTTTTAATATGAGTACTAAAGTTGTTGTTGTTTTATTTTATTTTATTTTATTTTATAAAAATTAAGTTGCTTAATTGTTAAGAGATTTTCGGTAAAT